ACTCGATCGGACACAGGCCCGATCGGACACATTTAGTATCGGATTTGTGTATTTCTGTAAAGCACAATATTCTTGTGTGCACAGAAATACGCAAACCTGATACAAAGTGTGTCCGATCGAGTCCGTGTCCGATCGGGCCTGTGTCCGATAGAATCTGTGTCCGATTGCAACCATATGTGTCCGATGTAAAATGTGTCCGATCGAGCCTGTGTCCGATCGGGACTGTGTCCGATAGAATCTGTGTCCGATTGCAACCATATGTGTCCGATACAAAATGTGTCCGATCGGGAATGTGTCCGATAGGAACGGTGTCTGATCGGGACTGTGTCTGATTGGGCTGTGTCCGATCGGGACTGTGTCCGATCGGGAAATATTGCCGTGTCCGATCGGTTATGTGCGCAATCGGGACAATCCCGGTAAATGATCTGCATCGGCGTTTCCGATATCTTATATCCTGGTGACACGTTCGGCGAAAATTCGTGTATCGTGTGTACAGGCTTGCTGTTGCTGTACGCACCCGCGGTCACGTTGCACTCTACGCGGATAATGTTCACATTGGTAATGTTGATTGGCAGGTCTGATTCATGCCATTTTCGCGGTTGCAGTATACGCGTCGATGAGAATCCCAGTAGCGATCCAATGTTGTTGGGCTTGCTAAAGTTTATTTCGAAGGCGCATTTGATCTCACTTCTCATCGTGTTGTAATTAGCGCGGAGCACAATTGGGTATTCATCGTCTTCGTCATCACCGTCGTTGCGTTTTTCACCACCATCATTATCTAGGAACCGACGTGGACGTTTCCATGAAAGTGCGCGTTTCAAAAATTCATTTATGGCCTGCAATTCATACGATCCTTCGGGAATTGTAATTTCCGCGTCGTCATAGTAAAATTTATTATTCGAACCATTCACATTCGATATCGTATTATAAGTCTCAAAGTTCATCAGACCGAGCTCGTAATCGTCGTCGCTCAGGTCTATGGCTGGAAAATAGTTTACAGCGAGCATGCTGCTCTTTCCCGTCAGCGTGAGTGTTAGCGACATGGTGGATGAAAAGCTGTTCAGCGAATACTGACTCCTCGCGACGCCTCGTCAAGCTTTTAAATTCGCACGCGTCAGTCGTCGACCGTTTAGAAAAATCGTAGACACAGCTGTCCGCAGATGCTCTGATCGTAGGTCTGATGGGATGTTCGATTATACACAGTCGTTGCATCATCTTCGAAATATCTCACCAATTCTTTAGGCGGTCGGAGATTACCAACACTGTCGAAATATACCACACGGTTTCCCCTCTTCGCGTATGCTACTCAGTGAGTGCCGAGTCCCGCCGCGTTGTCCAGATTGACGATACCGCTCTCGTTTCGTCGTACTCCGCTTATCGGTAACGCGTTTCGCATAAAGACACCTCTAAAGTACGGTATGTGCACACATTTGCCATTTGATCCAATTGCACGTTTGTCGTTACACCCGCAGGCATTTTTAATGCTTTTTTGACGTTTTTTTTCCTTCCTTGTTTCGTTATTACACCTCGTCCACGTTTGTATGGAGCGAGATACACTCCGCGACCTTCCATCGCGCGACTGTGACGCTGCAGCTCCTCAAGTTGACGTTGTGCGGCTTTGCTATCGCTCACAGCCTTCGCCACACCAGCTGCTCCACCGATCATGGATCCGTGCATGCCCAATATCGGTAGAAGTGGTAATACACCGCCGCGTTTCGCTACCGGAAGTATTCGCTTCTTTGTTGCTCTTTTCTTCTTTGTTTTCAAACCCATACCGATCTTTGTCTTGGCTTTCATAGCAGCCCAAACAGCTGTAGCGGCAGCTCTCTCTCCAAGCGTTGAATCTCTGGCGAAAATGCGTTTCCGCGCTCCCTCGGCGAGTACCCTGTCCGCCACGTGTCTCTCAGCGAGTTCGCTACTCCGAGAATATGCAATGTCGTGCTCGCAGCACGCCGCGTCCAACGGATTTATCCCTCGATCGCCACTCGCCAATCGTTCTTCAAGACGAGTGCCTGGGCTACAAAACTGATAACCGGGGATATGTAGCTCGAAAGGAAGCGCGTTTATCGCGCGATTCAGCAGACCGCCGCCACGTTTTACCGCTGTTGCCTCTGCCAACATTCGTAGCAATCCTTGATCATCGGCGCGGGACCGTCGATGTGCGTCCTCTGCCACGGCTGATTGTAATGCTCGTAACAGCGCCGATAAGTCTGAACTTCCGAATCAGTCT